CTATAAACCCCAAATAAATCTATAAAACCCAAACTGTTTTGAACTCCGGAGTTCCCGAGGTGCCTGCGCTCAGGCCTCCTCCTGGCAAGTCGCGCTGGGCCTGCGCGGGGGCGCTGGGGAGCCGAGTTTTCCATCTACTCAGTTAGGGTTTAGGGGTTTAGTCTTATGTTTGTTAAGGGTTGGGGCTTAGGGTTTTGGGTTGAGGGCTTTGGGTTTAGGGTTTTGGGTTTTGGGTTTAGTCTTATGTTTTTGCTGTTTGGGTTGGGGGTTAAGGTTTTTTTGGGTGTTGGGGGGGTTTTTGTGGGGAATATAAGGTGTAGGTTCAGCTCTTGCACTAGGGTTGAGGGTTAAAAGAGGGCTAGGCTTTATGAGGCTTGGTTTAATTTCAGAACTCCACGGGTTTATGGTTTGGGGGCTCAGGGGTTTATGGCATTGAGGATCTTTGTGGTGGGCTTATAAGCATTATAGGGGTGTTTTACGGTGTTTTGGTTCTTCACTGTTCTTCACCCTGTTCTATCATCTAAGACGTGTTTAGTCTTTGTCTCTACTGGCTCCCTAGTGTGTTCTGAGTTAAGGGTCTTCAATGGGTTTCGAGTGTCTATAGACAGCTCCTCTAGGCTTTTGTTTTATTTGGTGGGTTTTAGGTTTGTTTCCATAGCCTCTGCCTCTGCAGCTATGTGTTTAGATCTTTGTTACGAGAGCTTTAGTGTTTTCAGGCCCAGGGTGCGTTTAGGACCTAGGGTTTGGGTGTGTGTGTGTAGGGTTTGGGGTTTAGGGTTTCATTAGCCAAAGTACTTTCCATCAAGCAGTGTAGCATAGTTGTCCCTACGAGCAGCCTAACACTCCAAAAGCCCTCAACCCGAACAACTCAACCCTAAACCCTAAACCCTAAACTCAACCCTTAATCAACCCCAAGCCCCGAGCTTTAAACCCCAAGCCCTGAATCTTCAAGCCGTCGTCCATGTCTGTCTTTGGTGCCGTAAATGTGGTGAATGTGACGAAGCCTGATGAGCCGTCTGATTGTGCGGAAAGTTCGTGTGCATCTGAGGCCTCTGATAATGATCTGTGAAGTGCAAGCTCTGCTACAGTGCGGGCTCTTTTACCTGTTCGACTGTCGTGCGGAGAAAGGGTCATTGCATTGCCTGAACCCCAAACCCTAAACCGTAAACCACAAGCTCCAAACCGTAAAGCCCAAACAAAACTCTCACACCTAAACCCCTATGCCCTGAACCCCAAACCCTAAACCTTAAACGACCCATAGGCCCCATAGTAGTTCCTTGTTGGGACTACCTTATAGGATTCTAAAAAGGAACCCCAAAAAGGAACTACCATGGGGCCTATGGGGAGAAAGTGCCTCAGAAATGCCTTGAGACCAGAAGAGGTCGCCGGCTGCGTGGCCGTGATTAGCGCCGGCCAGAGTCTCCGCCGGAAGCTGAGACGCAGATGATGTATAGCGCTTGCTTTGGGACTTTTCTCAGGGGTTGTGGTAGGCTTACAGAATTCTCAGGGTGTAGCAGTTTTTTTTGTGCTTGGGATTTCCGCCTGGCGTTTCTAAGTCTGCGGGCAGTTTTCTTCATCCGTGATATGGTCATCGGAGGAGTGGGGGGCTAGCGATCTGATTGGAGTCTTGAGCTTGGAGCTCAGAAACAAGGCGATCACCCCAAACCCGACAAACCTTTATCCGGACACAGATACCATTTACTTAGAGTTCGTGGCTTAGGCTATAAGCCTTGATGAAGCCAGCGGGGCCTCAAGGTGTGGATGAAGGGTTTAGGTTCTAGGAGTTGGGAATGTTTTTATAACCACAAACCCCAAACACATAAGCCCTGAACCTCCGACACTGCAAGCTTTGCCAGCCCGCTCTTGGCCTTAAGCCCTTCGCCTACTTTCAACTCTTTCACGCTAGCTTAGACCATCTTAGACCCTAAACTCTGAGTCCTAAACTTGCTACACCCCAAACCCTCCACCCTCTACATCCTAACAGCCCCCCCAGCCCCCCTTACCCAAACAAGCAGGCCTGCCTCAAAAGAATCATGAACCCGATACACCTTAAACGCCCTATATATCTTCGATCTTAAACCTTATGAAGCCCACAGAATGGATCCTAAACGCCCTCAACCCATCATAACGGATCCTAAACCTAAAAGCCCCTCATAAGCCCTAACTTCGATCCTAAGCCGAAAAAGGCGAGCCCAGAGTCCAATATACCTAAATTAAGGAATAGACCTTAAAAAGTAATAATAGGAACCCTTGTTAGAATGCAGCAATAGATCTTAAACCATAAAGGGAACCCTAAATAGAGTCAAGGTCAATTCTTATGAGGGTTCCCATGGTATATTGTTTGGGGGTTCCTTCCCTTTGTAACCATAATTTCACATACCCCGACACCCTATACCCCGAAACCCTATTCTAATTCTTGTGGTATATTCCTTATTATGGGTAATGCAGGATTTATATCATCCTAAACCCTAAACCCTAAACCCTATGAACCCCTAGGTCTTTGGCGCTTGGCCGCTCGACTTCTCGGACGCCTCAGCTCCTGGACACCGCCGGACGCGGCGACGCGAGACCTGGTGGAAGCCTCAGAGTTGACATCGAGGGGTCCTTTTTTGGTTCCTTTAAGGCTCCTTTCTAGGTTCGTTCCTTTAAGGTTCCTTTTTAGGTTCCTTTAAGGTTCCTTTAAGGGTCCTTTTTAGGTTCCTTTAAGGCTCCTTTTTGGGTTCGTTCCTTCAAGGTTCCTTTTTAGGTTCCTTTTCAGGTTCCTTTAAGGTTCCTTTTTAGGCTCGTTCCTTTATTTTTAGGTTCCTTTAAGGGGTCCTTTTTAGGTTCGTTCCTTTAAGGGTCCTTTTTAGGTTCCTTTAAGGTTCCTGTAATGGTCCTTTTCAGATGTCTTTAAGGGTCCTTTAAGGTGTCCTAAGGGTTCAGAAGGGCTTTGTAGGATTTCAAGTTACAGTATCGGGGCTTTGAAGGCTTTGATAGGGATTCTTTGAAGGGTTCTGTAGAGGATTGCAATAAGGGCCACCACAAGGGTTTACCCCCTAAGGGTCTTTACTTGAAGTAAGTATGCGAAATTCTACCCAAAGCCTTGTTCTAATTATGCAGGCCCCTACATCAGTTTTTTTTGCAAGTGTTGAAAGGATTTTTTGGTGGCCTTATGGTTTTTTTACATTAGGGCCCTCTAGGGGTTGGTATCTTGCCGATGCCTTTGCGAAGCTATAAGCCCGAAACCATCCAAACACCAAGGACGTCTCTGTAAACCCTCGTCGTTCCTCAAGCTTCATGTCATCCCAAATCTCGAAAAAGCCCAAACCCAAACCCTAAACCCTAAAACCATCGAAGCCCTGAAGCCCAAAGCCCTACAGAACACTGAACCCAACTTTTATCGGACCCAGGGCTGAGCCCAGAAGTCTGCAACGCTGCAAGGCACGACCCTGAACCCTCGAGCCCTTATGCAATCCGATCGATGATCGGGTTTTGAGTTTAATGACCCTTCCGGCGTAGAAAAAAACGACCCACGCCCGAAGCTCAACGTTACCCAGGTAGTGGCAGCTTCGGAACTTGAGGCGGCGGCACTCAGCTGGCCCGCGCAGGCCGTGTTACAAGTAGGTTTTCTTGCCGATGATTGCATTTTACGTTTTTCCCCGCTCTCAGCATGGGGTTGTTGACTAGCGTGAGACTCCCTGGAGTGCCAGTCCCAGAGACTACCGTGAGACTCCCTGAGTGCCCAACTCCAAAAGGTACCGTGAGACTCTGCGAGACTTTCTGGAGTGCCCAACAAGTTGAGTCGCTGGAATGCCCAACCCCCGAGACTACCATGCGAGATCTGAATCGAACACGTGTTTTGGTACGTGTAGGGGGACCACATCCGTAACGCCAGTCAGTGGTGTGACCCCATGCAAGGGTCGTCGACTGACCTGAATCGAACACTCGTGTGTTGTTACGTGTGCGGGGACCCCAAGACCGTAATGCCAGTCTGTGGTGTGACTCCATGCATGGAACACCTGTGTTTTGTTACGTGACGGGGGACCCCACGACCGCAACGCCAGTCGGTGGTGTGGCCCCCGAATGCATCATCTGTAGGGTGGGGAGGTGCGAAGTAAAATAATTGTGTAGGGGTTTTCGGGGTATGGGGGATTTAGGGTTTTGCCTGTTGTTGAGTTTGGGGTTCTGAGGTGTGGGGTTTAAGCTATTAGGGGTGACAACCTGGATGCACTTGCACTTTCCTGGGGGCCGCTTAAAGAAGAATCAGGGAAAGGAATTGTGTCGAACGGCAGGCGATTTTTCAGTTTTTCAGGGTTGGGCCTTGGGTTTGTTCTCGAGTTGGAGATCCGACCCTTCAGGGACTTAAAGAGCAGGGCTTGCGGTTGAGAGCTTCGGGATTCTCAGTTTGGGATTGGTCCGGCTTTCTCAGCCTAGGGGTATTTAGGGTCGGAGAGGGGACATCGAGTCGGAGTTTGGGGTTTCCTAAGATTTTCATGTAGCCATATCGTGTACTGTATACTTAGGTCTTGGGCCTGAAAAGGGCTCCTTTGCAGTACAGACATGGACCCGTGGACCCGTAACATGGTGCCGAAGGGTTCGGTGCCTTTCGATTATGCAAAGCTCCGGACCCTATGCCTGACTTAGGGTTTTTAGCATTTAGGGAGTTAGACGTTTCAACCTTGGCTTGAGCCCAGGAACCAAGGCTGTGTGCGCTCAGCCCCAAACCCCAAACTCACGCTAAACTGCAAACCCTGTACCTTCAACATCCCAGACCTGCAACACTAAATCCTAGACCTTCAACTCCAGACCTTAAGCCCCGAACCTGTGCTCCTCGATCCTAAGTCATTTTAGCCTCTAGGGTTTCGTGGCTGAACATCAGCCGTTTTAGCTGCCAAGTTAGGAAGCCGAGGCCTATCTTCTTTCTGTTGTGGAAACCAGGATTTAGTGTTGGGGCTTCTAGAAGGGCTCTGTGAGGGGTTATAGGATGTTAGCATTCAGGGCTTGCTTGAGGGGTTGAAAGAACTGGTAGGTAGTACTATCCTCTGATACATCGTCCCTTTGCACTTCTACTGATTATAGTAAACCCACCCAAGCCCAGTCACTATTCTAGTTTATCAAGCCCTGCATTGTGCGTTTCGCCGTGCAGGAAAAAGTTACATTCTACTTGTATATGCAATAATATGCACACCGTGCAGTAGCGTATAGAGCCCGTGGCATAAGAAGTCGTCGTCGTAGCCGTCGTAGCAGTCGAAGTAGTGGTAGCACGTCAGGTGATTAGAACCACTTTGACTGCGATTGGCACTATTGATACTCTGAAGCGAGGTCCTCCACATCAGTCCCTTTGGTTTCGATCCATGTTGCAGCCCCCTGTCTTCGTTCGATTAGCAGCTGGACCAGTTCTCACGACTGTGAACTTTCTGCAATGTGTCAGCAGCATGCGGTTGTCTCAAGCCACATGTGACAGTCACGAAGACATTGCTGTTGTTGGTCGTGCAAATCGTCTTGAAACCCTAAGCCCTAAGCCTTAAACGGTGAAGGTGCCATCTCGTTCAGAGGTTCCCAGAGCTCGGTTTTGTAGTGAATTCAAAGCCACCTAGCTCTGAAATCCTACACCCCGCGCCAGCGACCCCCGGCCGTAGCCACATCATGCAGAGCCCTAAACCCTAAACCCTAGACCCACTTTGTCTGGAACACCACACGCACGCTGAATATCCGTCGCAGAAGCAGCCCCGATGAAGAGCTGCCTGGACTTTGGGTCGCAGCCACAGTTTTGGGAGCTCTACATCGTAGGGTGGGCAATTGTTTTTCGGACTGCAGGGGGACTTTACCTGCGAGATCTTTTGCGATTTCGGAGTTTGCGGCAATTGCTGCTTGAGCCGGTTCTTGATCTTCAGGACCTACGGACAAAGATTCGAAGTAATTGCAGAGGTGTTGGGTCGGTCCCAGGACGTGGAAACGCTGTCGGCTTGGTAAGCCTTACACCTCCCCGTCGTGTGCTTCCGGGGTTGGCGGTGCCGGGTCTCTCTGTGCGACCTCTCTGAAGCCCAAGCAACATGAGCCATTGGGTCGTGGTCGTGGTGTTTAGGGTTCAAGGGTTTATATGCTTTAGGGTTTAGGCATGGTATTGTTTATGGTCCCGCTTGGCCCCGTTTAAATCCTGAACCAGGACGACATTAAAACCACACGGGCCTGGGCCGCAGGCATTGCAGCCTCGAGCGTGAAGTCTTTCCTAACGTATCAGCTCCAGTCATACCCACAGTCCGGCATCTTACAGCTATTGTCAAAGGCGCATCATATCTGGAATTTGGTGCAAGTATGGGTAAGCGGCCATAATATATAATTGGAATACTGAGTGAGCTCGTAATTTAAGAGATACACGGCTTTCTGGGTACTCGTGCCATTGCGCATATCCCTGCTTCGGCGCAGAGGTGGGGCGGGAGACCACCTTTCTTGCGGTTCAGATTCCACCCCTTCTCCCCAAACCCGTTTGTCCATGAAGGGAGCCTTGCACACCAAACTGCAAACCTTAAATCGAAAACCCTCAACCCAAAGCCTCCAGGGGTTCAGTTACGGCATGTTGGGCAGAGGGCTTGATTTTAGGCAGTTTTTGAGCTTACTGGGATTGGCATTGGGGCTTGAGCTTTTGGAGGCAGTTCGGAGGCCACTCCACGCAATCAGACGGGCTCCTTCGAATCCACAGGGGTAGCTCTTTCGTTTTCCACTTGCACTGCCGTCCGTTATAAGGAGCTTGATTTGAATTTCCATAGCAAGGAAGGCGTACCCTGATGCAGATTTCCATTCTGGCATCTTGAATCAGGCTCCGTAACCAACGCCCCAAACGGCAATAAAGCCGTTAACACAGTCTTCGTTGCCTTCTTCGAGAAGAGCCCAGAGCTTGATTTCCCGAAACCCTGAGCCGACCTGAGCCATCGAAGCTCACCGGCCATAAGGGCAGAAGAGCATAGCTAAGTGGGTAGTTCTCTCTTTATTGGCGTCCCTTTTAGAGTCTGTTTATAAGGGTGCCGTATGATTTTGGGGATCTAGAAAGGGACGCTAACTTCGATAATTTCCCAAGTGGCTTCCGGTTTGGTAGCTTTTGGGCACAGCTACTTTTTGAGTCCTTCGACCCTCGGAGGAGATAATGCCTGCAAAGCAAGTGACAACGGCGATCAGATCCAAGCCATCTACCTCCTGGAAGACATTGAAGTGTTGGGAGACGGTGCTTCGTCGCCAGTGCCAGTTGATTCTGTCTTGGAACGAGCATATGATAGCCTAGTTTCGGGGGCCAGAATGGCAAATCCTAAGCCCGAGACCCCAAACCCTCACTTGAGATTTGAGGTTCGGTCTGTTTTGCCGAAGGTTGCAACGTGCGATCTACCGCACTCTTTCCCAGGTCGATCTTGGCAGCATAACCATCCGGGGGCAGGGGAAGTGTTGCAGAGTGTTTCGGCTGGCTCCACGCGAGCTTCACAGACTGGTATTCCCAGTTGTCCTAGTGTTGCTTCTAACCGCGAGTGTCGATGATGGTGAGAGCGGCTGTGAGAACGACGATGATGGCGATGGTGATGACGGTGACGAATGTGACGATCGGGCTCCCCAGTTCGAACCTCGGCTCCTTGTCCTGCGTAGCACAGTAGCACCTGGACCCAAAGCTCTGAGCCATCAGCCTGAGTCCGTTAAAGTTTTGGCGATGTTGAGCTGCTCCCCAACCTTGAGGTGCTAAAGGACCACTGCGAGTTCGCCGTGTTCGCCGAGTATAAGAACCTCGACGAAGATGCCCAGAAGAAGCTGCTGCAAGCACTGGAGGGCGCTGTGCACCCAGGGTGCTTTCAGGAACATTTCTGATGCTTTTGCCTTGTGCAACATCCAGCTGCCTTCGCCACCGACTGATGGACCCCCCCAGAATCAGTTGCAAAGTTTTTAACTTCATGACCAGAACTCGGGCAATACGGCTGCCTCTCTGTGCCTCGCATGCCTGCAGCACACTCGATTAACATCCTTTCTCGTCTGCGGCAGCCCAGCATGAGTAGGGCGAGTCTTTGAACCGTGAAGCCTGAGCCCTGCAGTCAAATACTGCAGCTACACGGCGAATACTTTTCGTTGAGGGTGAGCAGTCTTGTACGGGAGGCAGAGTTTCCAGAAGATTGCACCAAGATACCACAAACCTTCAGCAGTGCACCCGCGAGGATTTTGTTTGTTGTATTTCGCTCAGTCGAACAGCCCAGGTTCATGCAGCTTCCAAGCATTCTTGCGCAGTTGGAGCGGCAAAAGGCAAGCCGCAAGAACAGTCGAAAAAGTAAGGCCGAAAGCTCTCACGAAGATAGCTCTTTGGTCACGGCGGTAAGAGCAGCTGCCGACGATCCACGAGTCGCTGATGCCCTTACGCCCGATGTTTTCGACATCCTGCGGGACTTCTTGTCATCATGGGGTGCACCTATGGGTGCTGAAGAGTTGCTCTGCCGACACAATCTTCATGAAAGGCAGATTCGTCAGTTGTTTGAAATTTGCCAACCGAGCAAACTTTTGAGCTCGGATCAGAGCGTTACGAAGCGCAGTTGCGATAGCTCCTGGGAGCACTTGCGGGCAGTGTCTATCGCAGGCCTGCAGCTTTTTCGCAGCATGACGAAGATGCGTTTAGAGTGCAAAGTCGTTGGAAGTCCTCATCATAAAGTTGGACTAACAATGGTAGTAGAGGACTCGTTCGGAGATCGGGCTCATTGCGGTGTATACAACCTGCCGGGGGTGTACAACCAGCAGACAGCAGACCAGGCCATTCCTCTGAACTCCACTTTGATCATCGCTGAGCCCTTCATGAAGATTATGGCTGATGGTACTCGAGGAATTCGCGTGGACAACCCGGAGGAGACATTTGCACGTTGAAGACGTCTGTCGTGGGTGTTACTTGCTTCCTTGCTCCCAGTGTTTCATTGTCCACATCTCGAACCTGGCCCAAACCCTACACCCGAAACTTTGTGGATTTCGCCTAAACAAAACTGGTTACTAACAAGACGAAGAGCCACACGGTAGCCACAGCAATACATACCAGAAGCACAAAGATTCCATGGCATGCAGAAGCGTATAAAGTAGCTTTCAGCATGCTTCTGTTGCTTCCATAACTCCCTTTCGTCATTGCTAGAACTCGTACTTCATTATCAGCAGCAGCAGCGACAGCAGCAGAAGCAGCAACAACAACAGCAGCA